CCGGTTCTAGCTGTCTCAGGCATTGATGGACTGCCGGACCATTCCGAAATTTTGCGCCCCTGCCGCCCCACCTCGCCATCACTCCATCAAGAAGCCCCACTGAAGGCCGCGACAGTTCACCCGACCCTAACAGCGGATAACACTCCCCTCGCCCCCTTTTTCCTTTCTCTGGATTTGGTGAAAGGGTTTGGCGATAAATCGCTGCTATGGTATTAAAAACTATTCTATGTGAGTATTTTAGTTCTGCCACTTTGTATGAAAATCGGATATTTGTCCGGTTATTTTATGTTAGATCAGATGTCAAGAATAGTGGGAAAGTATAAGGTGGAAGGTTATTTTGGAATATTATTACTTTTTTCACATAACGTTGATTGTAACTAAGTTTTGCAGATATGAAACATAAAAACACAAACTGGTTTGGTAATTTTTAATCGTATTAGAAAAAGTTTAAGAAAACAAAACAGTCAAAAAGAATAAAAAATATTGCGTAGAGTCCCTCCGCGCGGAAGAAGTTAAACTTCGCAACTTGCGACGTTAATTGTAGAAGAATCAGCAGTCGTAGAAGGATCACTAGTTCTATTTAACGACTCTTTTTCCTGCTCCGCTCGCTTCCGTGCTCTGTAATCACGGTAATATTGTGCATTTTTCCTTCGTGGACCTCTTGAACCAGTGGAAGTGATTGTGGTTGCCTCATCGTCTCGCCATGGAAAATGTATTTGTATTAATAATGTATGTGAATGCGTCATAATGTAATTTCGAAAGAGAAAAACTAACAATCAATTGATATTCGCAAGAGACGTACCTTGACATAACCTTAAATCCGTCGCATTGTCCGTGGGATTGTTTTCACTCATTTTTTANATCCTCGCAAGGGAGAGGCACCGGTTCTAGCTGTCTCAGGCATTGATGGACTGCCGGACCATTCCGAAATTTTGCGCCCCTGCCGCCCCACCTCGCCATCACTCCATCAAGAAGCCCCACTGAAGGCCGCGACAGTTCACCCGACCCTAACAGCGGATAACACTCCCCTCGCCCCCTTTTTCCTTTCTCTGGATTTGGTGAAAGGGTTTGGCGATAAATCGCTGCTATGGTATTAAAAACTATTCTATGTGAGTATTTTAGTTCTGCCACTTTGTATAAAAATCGGATATTTGTCCGGTTATTTTATGTTAGATCAGATGTCAAGAATTGTCGGAAAGTGGAATATTCCGGTTTTCTCGTATAACGTTGGTTGTAACTAAGCTTTGCAGATATGAAACATAAAAACACAAACTTGGTTTGGTATTTTTTAATCGTATGAGAAAAGGTTCTCAGACAAATCGGATATTTGTCCGGTTATTATATGTTAGATCAGATGTCAAGAATTGTCGGAAAGTGGAATATTCCGCTTTTCTCGTATAACGTTGGTTGCAACTAAGCTTTGCAAATATGAAACATAAAGACACAAACTTGGATTAGTATTTTTTAATCGTATAAGAAAAGGTTTACAGACAAAAATAATAAAAAAAGAAAGACAAAAACAAATAACTGTACTATTTTTACGCTTACTGCATTCGCAATAAACAGCAATGTAATACTGATGCTGATTCTTATGTAACAAGATGTTTCACCTTGCGTAACGCTGAATAAGATTTACGTAACACTGTTTACATAAACTTAATCGATACAAATTAAGAATTTTCTTAAAATTGATGAAGGAATCGATTTCAAGAAATCAGTTTTATAATAGAGCATTCATAGATTTAAATTCCTTTCACTTAGTTCATTAAAATTTAATAATCATGTTTTTTCTATAAATTGTTGGAAAATAATGTAATATTTAAAATTAATTTGGAAAATTATCTTTCTCCGACTTATTATTTTCTGACGCTTATAAATTGGGGCATCAAATAATATTCTCCAAACCACCATTCGCATATGAACAATTAAATATCGTTTTCTGTCAATAAATGATAAAAGCTCAAACGAAAATATTTGTTTGTAACAATTAAGCAGTTATTTTACGGCAACAGTGTACACAATAGATGCATCATTAAAAGATCGTTTGTGAATTTTCTCTGTTTCAGTTCAACTTTCACTGTACCCTGTTGTGTTCTGTAATTCGTTTCAAATTAACTTCTGATGCTTTTCACTGAAATAAGTGGTTTCTAATGATTGTATTATTTGATTTTTTTTATTTTTTTTTAAAGAATTTTAATTTTGTTTGTCCTTAAGGAAATAAAATTGTTTCTTTTTCTCTTCATTTTTTTTTTGTCTGCCATTCGGTTCCTTTCTTTAATGTGTTAGTTAAGCTTATAGAAATAAAACAATAGTTTTGCTATATTTAATATCATTTATATCCCTTTTATTTAACTTTATAATTTATTTTAATTGCCCATAATTCATTTACGATAGAAAGACCAGATTTAACGGGATACCGAGTTCAACATTGAAATTTTTACTAAATATTCATTTAATATTAATAAACATAAAAACTTAATCAATACAAACAGAGCCGAGGTGGTTCAGGGGATAAAATGTTCGCCTTCCAATGGGGTGAACTGGGTTCGAATCCCAGCGATGGTTGATCGATTCAAATTCCGCATCCGGCTTCACAGACCACAGTGCTGATGTAAAATATCCTCAGTGGTCGACGGATTATGAGTAAGAGTCCTCTTGCCGTCATACTAACCGTGGTTTTCCTCTACATGTAACGCAAATGCGTATTAGTTCCATCAAAAAGCCTTCCACGAAGGCAAATTTCTCTCTATACGTGATACAGGAGTTCCGTTGTCTTCTGAATTGGGTTCAAAATTATAAGGCTGCAGAGTTGAACATTAGTAATCGCAACCCCCCCCCCCTAAAAAAGAGTCGTTTGTATAATGACGGTCATGAAATAAAACTAATACAAGCAAAACTCGGATTTAACGAAGCGTTTTTCTTAGCTACTGTAAAATTAAGTAAAAAAAGTATCAGGCAGTTTGGGAAAATCGCATTACCTTTGAAAGGGTTTCAAAATCTTCAAAAAATCAAAGTGTTCAAAAATTGCATGCAAATTGTTTGCGTTAGATACATAATTTAAATATATAATATAAATATGTAATATAAATATGTAATATAAATATATAATATAAATACATAATATAAATACAAACAATCTATATCGACTTTTGAAAAGTAGCAAGAAGAGGACCATAGTAACAGTTGCGGTAACAAATGAATAAGAAATGTTGGATGGTCATTAAAATGACTAAAAGAAGATGTTGTATATAAACCATTGAATAGATTCTACCTCTTACCTAAAGGTTTTCAAATCATAAAAACACGTGAATCATACGGTCTGATCTTCTCTTTAGTGTTCCATTCATTTTATCAACCTACATCTTTGATGATGGTTAAACGTAACGATTTTCCACAGAATTAAAAAATTAACAATTTTCGAATACGCTACGAAAATGTTTACCTTTGAAAAAAGTAGGATTTAGTTCTGCAATTGAAAAATTAGAAGAAGCTTCAGAGAGTTTTTAATGTTCAAATATAAGATTGTAAATGTTTAAAAATATTTGAGGGGAAAAAAAACACGGATGAGATTTAATAAAATAATTTCGTAATCCATGCTGTGCAGTTTTCATCAATAGTAGATCATCAAGATTTTAATATTATACAATTGTTGTAAAATGGCACAAAGTTAAATCATAAACAAAACTTATCAAAATCTTTCCAATTTTCACAATTGTGTTAACAGATAATAATAAAAGAAACTCATCTTTAATTATTTTTTAACTAATTTTTGTGCATTATACTTTCTATTTCGGATAATTTCAGTATTTTTTAATAATTTTTAATAATTTAATTAATTTTAGCAAGTATTCTGATTTTATTAACGAATGAGATTAATTTCTACGTTTGCGTTAGGAACGAATTCGACTGTATTACATTGGAACGAATTACAAATTATACTTCATATTTCTGAAATATAACTATTTTAGGATATTTCAATGAAGGATATTTCATTAGGATATTTCATTAAAATGTTATAGATGTCAAGGTTATTATTACCATTATTATTTTGAAAAATTAAATCTCAATTTTACAATAGTTATTTAAATAACCATTTATATTACATTAATATATCATCATATTATTGGTATCGAATTGAAAATAAATATGAAGACATTTAAACATTTTGGATAAAAATGCGAAATTGTTTGCTTTTAGATTTTACTGTCAGGATTTCTTGATTATAATATGAAAATCATTAAAATTATGTTTTGATTTTACCAAAAGCTGAACCAAAGTGTTCTTTATATCCTCTTTGAAAGAAGCCCATTTCACTTTCACAGGCATAAGTATAGTAAGTTTTTTTTTAAAAAAAATCCATAAAATTTTCACAATTGTTTGATTTACAACGCAGCAAAAAATTACAGAATTTTATGATAAGTACTTATGTATGCAATATTTCTCACAAGTTAAGAATGTATCATAAAACACAAACCAGAAAATAAAGAACCGGATACTTGAAGCTCAAATTTAAGTGATGCCATTTCATAATTCAAATTAATAAAAAAAAATGTCGATAAAAGTGCTTAAAATTTATTACACTCATGTTTTATATTTTAAACAGCTTTCTTGAGAAAGTAACAGGTAAATTTTTTTATCAATATCATCTTTCGGTGGAGAAAAAAAGCACTACAACAATAACTATAACGAGCTATGTAAGGATTAAAACTATCCCTTTAAAACCCTGCGTGCTTCAATTGAAGCCTGGCATCATATTTCATATTCTTGAAGAAAAAAGGCGAATTGCAAAGATATTGGCAATAATTTCTCATCTCTTCTCCGCTTTTTTTTTTCAAGTTTATAGCCTAAAATATAATAATAATAATAAAAAAAGGTGAGAGATTTGCGATGACACTCGCCAACTGGTGTGAAATATAATAATACTCCAGCCAAAACACACACCAAAATGGTTCGTTCTTTAAAGGATATATATCGTCATTCTTTTTTATTCTGAAACTAACCCATAGAAGTTGCAGCTCCTCAACCCATCTTTGGTTCTTTGTTTCCTTGACTTTGAGTGATGGTAGAGCTCAAACTTAGATGAGGCAAAAAAAAGGTGAAGCATAACTCGCTCTTGGTACATAATTTATTCTTATATATTGAAAGACCGTATGACAAAAGTGACCATAAAGTATAACGTGCTTTGCTTCAATATGTAAACGTACCGTATCACAGATAATTTTTTTTTTGGTACCTGGCATCTTTTTTTTTTCCTTCCACTTACGCCACCTGTATAGTTTGTTCGGACAATACCCGGGCATTTAGAGAGGCATTGTAAGAGGGTAGTCTTGCAGAATGATCCTGTGAGCAATAGAGGGATTTGATCCGCTGCGGAAGAAAATAGCTGGCGATGAGTTATGGGCTAGTTTTCAGCTTATGGGGCTACCGTTCCCTTTTAAAAGTGCCACAGCACATGGTAATAGATCAAGGTGGACATGTCCATGGGAATTATGTAGGGATTGTTATTATATTTACAATATCGGGATATTTGATATGGGAGTCATGTTTAATACGGATGAAATATTATTTTTCTTTACTGCTTTCGGATAAAAAGTAAAAATGACTGCTTTGAGATTTGGAGAGTAGAAATTCATTGTGTTTAAAAACTTTTGGGATATGAAGCAAGAGTTAAGTTTCAAATACTTGAAAATTATTTGCCAAAATGAAAAAATATGTTGGATCGATTATAAAAGTTTTCTAATTTTCAAATTTACGTTATGAACTATCCATAACATTAATTATAATAACATGAATTATCTATAACTCGTAACTTAGTGATTAATATTATAGCATATTTTTGGAATATATTTTTCAGTTATATTTAATAATGAAAGACGAAAATTTATTTGCATCACTTGCATTTTTAATTTTTCTAATTTAGAAAAATTTTACTAAAAAGGAAAATGTGAACAAATGGAAAGGGCTATATTCGGAGAGTATGCCGGATGTTCAAAACTTCCCAATAAATCTAAAAGACTTTGTGTTCATATTCACTGTCACGTTCACAAATAATTTCACGTTTGGAGGGTAAGGAGAGGTTCATGAAATCGTGACAGTTTGTGAAAAGGAGGGAGTGTGTAGCAAGAAGTGTGACGACACAGTTAAGGACAAAGTAAAAACATTTTAAATCAGCTGATAAGATATTTTTATATTATTTGCTTGTATATTTTTTCCATCTTTTACATAAACATGAGTATATATGTAGATCATAATAATTGTTATGCATGCAAATGTATTTAAAATATAGTTTAAGTTGAAAAATACTATATGAACGATAATCTACGACGCAAGAAGAAATTAAGGTATAAATTTAAGATATAAGGTTATAAGGTATAAGGTTATAAGGTATAAGGTTATAAGGTTATAAGGTCTGATCTTNGGTTATAAGGTATAAGGTTATAAGGTATAAGGTTATAAGGTATAAGGTTATAAGGTATAAGGTTATAAGGTATAAGGTTATAAGGTATAAGGTTATAAGGTATAAGGTTATAAGGTATAAGGTTATAAGGTATAAGGTTATAAGGTATAAGGTTATAAGGTATAAGGTTATAAGGTATAAGGTTATAAGGTATAAGGTTATAAGGTATAAGGTTATAAGGTATAAGGTTATAAGGTATAAGGTTATAAGGTATAAGGTTATAAGGTATAAGGTTATAAGGTATAAGGTTATAAGGTATAAGGTTATAAGGTATAAGGGTATAAGGTTATAAGGTTATAAGGTATAAGGTTATAAGGTATAAGGTATAAGGTTATAAGGTATAAGGTTATAAGGTATAAGGTTATAAGGTATAAGGTTATAAGGTATAAGGATAAGGATAAGGCTTGTTCCAGAAATTAAGGTATAAATCTATGTAACATAGAGTGACAAGTGACAATAAGGGGGAGAGGTTAAGGTGAAGTGTGAAACTTTGCGTAAAAGGGGGGGGGATTAAAAACATCGAAAGAAATGTGTGATATCATTTTTGGACTGTCCCTTGTGTGACTATTGATAAAAGAAGAGAGACTTGTTTTCTAAAGGGTGCCTATTTTAAATATATTTAAGATAAAAATTTAAATGCATTAAATTCTTGTTTTACATAAAATAATAATAACCGTTAATTCATAAATTTAAAAAAAATGTAACATACAGCGTTTATAGTACTTGATGAAATTAGAATAACCCGTTTAGAAAAATATAACTATTTCAAAATAATGAAAAAAAATATTTTTTTTAAATAAAATTATACCATCGCTTCATTGAGATCATCTATTAACGATTGCCGGCAGAAAAAAAAGGGTAAAATGATACGTAAGAGGGTGGGGTTGACCAGTTGAAAAAAAAAGAGAAAAACGAGATGAAGAGAAGTACTTCCCTGGCAGATGTTCAACCTAAAAATGCCCGAAAGAGGAAAAAATATAATCCATAGAGAAAAAAGGAACACAACAACATCAAAAAGAATTATTTTCTGCACACACATACATACACATAGATCAAAATATAAATAAATAAAATAGTCCCCAAAAAAATGCGAAGTCAACCGAGTGTGACAGCAGAGAAAGACTCGGACGATTATCGCCCGAAATTACCCTGCCTGATTGATGAAATGTCAAACGAGAAAGAATAGATTGAATCTATAGTAGTGCCATGAGATGTCGGATGGATATCACAAGGGGGGGGGGCAAAAAAGGGGGAGTTATAATAGTAATAAAAAGTAGGGAAGTAAAATGGAAGGGGGTTGATAATAAATAATAATAAATAAAAAAGGAAAAAAAAGGGTGAGAGATGCTGAGGTCCGCCCTAGATTTTGGCGAGGCATAGGGTTGCTATTATTTTGGGATAATAGACGCCAAAAAATGTTCTACTATTCTATATGGCTAATAGATCATTATTAGAAAAAAAATTAATCTTTATGGATAAAGTATGGGTGAAATATTACCCCAGGTGCTGCTTTTTATTTAGACCTCCAAGGGTGGTAGTTTAAAAGATTAAGCAATTTTCCACTTTTTGGAATGCTGAGAAAAGATTCTAAATATGTAATTATGATGAATTATTTTGAGTTTTTGATTAATGGGAGTGTTTATCTTTTGTACAGTGGCTTATTAGAATTGTTTTAGATTAACAACAAGGAAAATATGGTAGATAAAATGTTGTATGTTGTACATGTAAAGTTTGATGGAAGCTATATTTTTGAAATCCTTATTTGACTGATTATCGAATGGCAGCTGCTATTAGAAACTGAAATAAAGGGGAAATCACATAAATATCATTTTCATCCAAAAAGTTTTTTTCTTCTTTTTTGCTAGTTTTATTATTCTGTGACACCTGCCACGTTATCATACTTACAAAAAAGAAGTTGAATTTTATATGTACTTAGATTACTATACTGAAAACAAATATACACAAAGAAAAACAGTATTGTCAAAACTACCAGAATATGGCAAAATTTACCGTGTTTCTAGTTTTATGGGAACACCAGAAAGCTCGGTAGTTTTTACCGAAGGGCATTGGTAATGATTTTGGTAAAATGAACAATAAAATACGCTTTATGTGATAAAATTTGGTAAATGTGTTAAAAATTAGCAACTTTAATATCATACCTTAGATCATGGCATATAAAATCATTTATTTGGTTAAATTTACTTTCAGTTTTGTACGTTCAGCTTTTTTTTTCATATTTAGTAAAAAATTACTAAATATGTGGTAATAAGAACTATAATTTTGAAAACCAAAATTTTCGGAAAACCGTTACCATATGAACGAAAACATTACTAAATGAATGGCTTAAATAATGCATATTTCGGTTTTATTAACCAGAATTATGGAGTTTTTTTACACCATAAAAGTCATTACTATACAGTGAGGTAATTTTACCAGAATTTTTCCCTCCGTGTACTTTTTGTGATTTTTTGTGAAAAAAATTATGTTAAAACATTATTAAGGGGGATAATTACCCATCGCATCATATCAAATCATGGTTTTTGACCCACTTTTAAAGAAAAAAGTAAGTAGAAACACATGGGAAAAAAATTTAAAAAAAGATCAAACTTTGAAAAAGGAGAAACAAAGAAAAAGAAAGCACAAAAAATTGAGAGAGAGAGAATGGGACTGCTATTGGTTTACTGAAAACTACATTCATTTTATAATTTCAGTTCAAATTTGTTATTTTTAATCATTAAATATACATTTGATTTTTTTACACAACTTTTGTTAGTAACATTTATGTAAACATTTAACTATTGGTGTATATATTGCTGCATATTTCTTTATAAGTATATTGCGAAGTATATATGTAATTATAGTAGGTATAACCTTCTTTATAGTGGGTCAAATCACCCTCAAATAGTGTGGTTTGACTATATTTGCGCAACTAGGAAAAATTATTAATGAAAGAGATAGTTTATAATTTATGTGATAATTAATAATGCTCCCCGATTATTAACCAAATAATCTTAAGTTGGAAATTTTATAACTTTAAATGAATTAGAAAAATATTTTATGTGGTAAAAGATTAAAAAAGGTGGTAAGGGATCATAGCTCCCATGTTTCTTTAATATGAAGAGTGGTATACTTTAAAAAAGTTCGAATCAAATTACGGTACTACGGTACTTTGGATTCATCATCTATAAAATTAATTTTTACCATAAAATATTTTACAGTGGAATTTAACAGTAATATTTATTTTGAGTGATTCAGTGATTTTACGATAATTATTACTGTAAAAATTAAGGCATGTCAGATTTTATTGTTCATGTACCAGAAAAAACAAATTCTACGATAAGAAGTACTGGCACTCTGAATGCCGGTACTTTTTATTGTAATTTGATTCGGAATTTTTTACAGTGTAATGCGGCAATCTGCAGATGCGGATTGTACTGGTTTTTAAATTTTTGAACTTTAATGATTCGGAATATGATATATTTTTTGAATGAAATTTAAAGAGTTGTGATTTTATATTTTAAATAAATCAATCAGAAGGTTAGGAAAAAAACTAGAACCTTCTAAAAACTTGACCCTTTTGCTTTTAGTACCTATCTCCTACCATTTTGATAAATAAGTTTTAAGTTTGGCAAAAATGG